ATCAATATCTGGTAAGTGGGGAATCTACCCAAAACCGAAAAACATGGGAAGGGTCTACGACACAAAAAAGTTTGGGAACCTCTGCATTAGATGAATTTGTTCGTAAGAGATTAAGGGAAACCCAGGATACTGCAACTCTTTGACAACTAGTGATGAACATAAGTTTAGTCATATTATTATTAGAATTTAATAATTCTACTACTTGAAGTTTTTTTTTATATAAATATTTCGTAAACAAGCTTAAAAGTAATACATTAATATCTCGCATAATACAGGTAATCGGTTCTGCAAATATTATTGACTTTTTGAAACCGGACTAATCAAGGAACAAATAAAAATAAACCGCACAAAAATAGCACTAAAAGGGAAACATTTTGAGTACTAATTGTGTACTTTTTTTTTTCTATTAAAAATGTTTTAAAATTGTCAAATCGGACTATGGACTGATCGAATCCGTACTATATGAGTCAAATCAAGGGGGTCTCAAATAAAAAATTGCCTGGCGCTGTCAAATTTGTCTGAGCGATTTAGGGACTGTAATAAAAAATTGCAGGCGGGACAGAGATTTGAAGTACTGCAGATTTTGAGATAATAAAAATTATGTAACAAATAAAATTAATTATTCATATTTTAGGAAAGTATGAAATATCACTTAAAGTTGTCCTCATTTCCAAGTCTTGAAAAATACGTTTTTTGAATACGTTTCGATTTAGACGGTTTTACATTAAAAACATTACAATTTTGATTTACAAGTTTTTCTCATAGACCTATTTACCGTGTAAATCGGGGGATAGGTGTATTTCAATTGTTAATTTTTCTTTGAAAACTAATATTTTTGATTAAAAATCTACTTTCTTTGTTAAGCGAGGTTCCACTGTATATACCTATGATATTTCTTTGGTATTTAAAAAAATTATGATACACATCGTTATTAAGATGACCTAAATCTATTTGGTTTAATATGCCATTTCCTGAGTCAGTGTTCTATATAATTTACGACTGCTCCAATAACAAGTCTGCAATTCAAGGTAAAATAATTTGTACTAAAAGAAGAAAATTACATCCAAGAAGTTAAAAATTAAGTTATCAGTAGATTTAAAAAATAATGATGAAGAGGATTTTAGAATTTTATTGAATGCAGAAGATGTTGGGGTTTCAGTGGAAGATTTATAAAATCTTGTTAACATCGAAGACAAAGAAAAATGAAAGAAAAATTAGGAATTTTTGACCCTTGAAAGAGTTATAAGTTTTTTTTTAATGAAAATGATCCTAATTTATGAAGATAACTCCGTATTATTAAATAAAAAGCAAAAATAGCGCTAACAATCACATTTCTTTTTTTAACTTTTATTATTCATTCATAACCTGACAACATCCCTGGCTATAAGTAGAATGTTTTTGGCCAAGACAGAAAAAAAAACAAAATAAAAACAGAAAAACAAAATAAAAGCATGGAACGGAACGATTTCCCATCGGAAATCTTCATATAAACAATTATAAATTTAATTAAAAAGAAATAATTCGATGACAATAACAACCCAATTAAAAATTGATTTTGACGGCACTATGAAAATTTAAACAATAAAACTAACTTTTATTTTCTAAAGGGGAGGTCGAGAGTGTTGTGTCTCTTTAGTCTGTGGGGTGTGTCACTATTGTCTAGGAGAGATAACGCGAGACTGTTGGGGTGGTTTTCCAGTCTGTTTTAGTAACGGGCACTGAATATGGGGATTTGACTCTTAACAGTGTTCATGTGGAGGTCGTTGTGTATCGTGTCGTTCGTCACGTACCAGGGGGCCTGCACCAGGGTTTGGTACTTGGACTGGAAGCGTTGCAGGATCTCTATGTTGGAATTGCTGGCTGTTCCCCAAAGCTGGATGCCGTACGTCCACACTGGCTTCAGCACTGTCTTGTATATCAATAGTTTATTTTCGAGGGATAGTTGTGATCTTTTTCCGATCAGCCAATATAGTTTCGCGAACTTGATACCCAGTTGCTTCCTCTTTGTTGCGATGTGTTTCTTCCATGTGAGTCGGCGATCCAACATCAAGCCCAAGTATTTGGCATCGTCGGCCTGTGGGATGATTTTCTTGTTCAGTGTGACCGGGAAATAATCGCATTTAGTCTCATATTTTACAATGTGATTTCGTTTTGTATGTAAGTTGATTGTTTATTTAATAAAAAAAATCTTGTTCGAAAAACTGGCTATACTTCTAAAAAGAAAGTTTCATTTAACGAACTATTTAATTTTCTATTCGTTAATCGAGGTATGACTGTATTACTTATTATATATTTATTTTTTTAATCTTTAGACATTTCAAATCATTCTTATACTAACTTCAACACAATATCATACAAATTATATGCAACTAATAATAATAATATAATTTATATAGATATTAATATATCTAAAATATATATTAATTATACTTTTATCTTGGCTATTATATCTGGTTATTAAGACATTAATTATGAGTGATTTAAATTTTTAATACATTTAGATAAAAAACATATTTTTAATTCTTTGTTATTTGTTAGATTTTCTTTGTTGGAAGATGCGTCGGATAATACACAAGAATTTATATTAATTGTTAGTGATTATCGTATTTAATTATTATCCATAAACGTGTTGTTTTCTTTGCTACTAATGTTTTTTACCTTGATTGAAATTGCATTGTTATTAATACTTCTCACTATTCATTACGTAAGCTCGGCAATATATTAAAGAAAATGGATTTCAGGTAATTTTTATTGGAAGATACCAAGAAGAGTTATATATAAATATCGGTTTTGGAAAGTCCAGAGAAATTGCAAATGGAATACATTTTTTAATTTGTAATGCAAATGAAAATCGTGACACATTTTAAAAATAACTAGAATTCATATATTTTTATTTATCTTTCAGAATCTTATTTTTATTAGATTATATCTTCTAAACAGAAGTAGCAAATGTAGAGAACAAAATAAATAAGGCACAGTGGAACCTCGCTTAACGATATTTTTAATTTACTTGAAAAACAAAGGTGTCTTTGACTGAAATTTGCATCTTTATTGCATATAATTATCATGAAAAATAACCATAATTCTTATAATTATGAATTTGATAATTTCGAATTGGATTTAAGTTTGAGATAATTTTAATGTCTTCAATACTATTTATAACATTGATAAGATATATATTATCAATGTAGAACAAATATCCTATAAATGATCTAGTTGTGCGTATATTTGCGTCTATTGATATATAAAAACTGGTTCATCTTAGTTGTTTGGATTTTACTCGATAAACCTTTGATCAAATATACGAGCACCTCACATAACGAGCATTTCACTTAACGATCAAAATTAATTGTAAGAAAAATAATAAATGACGTTTTGCATAACGAGTGACGATGAGAAGAGAAGTCACATATAATGTGTATTTTTGAATATGTTTCTTTATACGAGTATTTCACTATACGAGTATAAAGCCTGAAATTTTGTAACAGATAATACTCGTTAAGCGAGGTTCCTCTGTATATAGTTAAGATACCCAACTTTACATATGATGTTTTAATGTAAATCTAATACATTTGTTCATAATTTCTTTTAATCATCTAACGCAAGACTGCGCAAATTATTAAAGGGTTGCGAAATGATAGCAATCAGATCAACTATTTTCGTAGATAACTTGAAAATCGAATGTTGTGAATATCGAATAAAGAATCAGGGTTATCTTCGTTTGTTTTTAAGTGTGGGCCAGGAAACAAAAGTATATGAAAATTTTCACATGCGAAAAATGAAACACGACCATATTTTTAAAACATTGATATTGGAATTTTCTTTACTGGCTTAAATGGTAATAAGCAGGTTTCTTTCCAAAGAAATATCAAGTATCAACTAATAGATTGTAGAATATAAGAACTGATCTTCTGAAGAACATTATCATTGATTTCAAATCACTTGAAAATGCAAACATCTACTGGAACGGATTCTGTTTCATATTCAAATCACATAATTCAGTAATATAATATAATATTACTACTCACTTGTTGTTTTTTGTTTTAGTGAGAAATTTTAGGAATAGATTTGAATAAATATTTAATGCCTTGTTGTTTAATTTTCTGTTCTATTTGCATGTTTCTTACGTTTAAATAAAATTATTTTAGCGGGAGATTTCAGGAATGAAATGACTCCTGTGAACATTTATATTTCATTGAGATGACAGCTTAATAAGACATCAAATGATATATAGGAAATATGATCGCTTTTTTAAGATTTCTTCTTTAGGTATCTTCTTCATATTAAATAGATTATTCAAATCAGTGAGAATTCTTAATATTTCTTAAATTCATAGAAGTTTATTTATATTGCGTTTTACGAGTAATAAATTATATAATTTAGCAAAATATCAAATTACTTCTATGCTCATAAATAGTTTGTTAAGTATACAATATATAGCTACATACAAAATGTTGAAACAATTGTTATTTTTGTATTGCGTAGGCTGTTATCAGTCAGCTGAGCAATTCTTTATAACCTACATAGGTAACATATGAAATTTTTAAAATGGTTTAAATGATTGTGCTTAAACATTTTTTTTTCGGTTTGATTAATTTATCTATAAAACAATTTGAGGTTACGACAAGGATGTATTCTTTAAAACAGTGTTTTTTTGACCAAAAACTTAATGCGAACCAGAAAATATTCAACTTTTTATAAGCGAATCGGTAACAATTTTATTCTAGAAAAAATCTATTGTAAAAGAAATAGTTGTACATTTTTTAAATTTCTGTTGACTAGTTAGATTAGAATTGCAGACAATCGGTTGAATAACGCTTTAAAGCAAGGGTGAGCAACCTTTAAAGTTTAAAGATTGATATTGTATTTATGTAAGGATAAAGATAAAATTGCATAGAAAAAGAATTGAACCAATTAAGTTTTGTTTAATATTTATAAACCAATTTTATTGTAAGTTCACATAGTTTCAATAAAAATATATTAAATGGTTAAATTGGTACAATAAAAGAATAAAAACACTTTTAATAGGAATATGGGAAGCAGAATGTCGTTTTGGTACATATAAATATAATTAAAAACGGTTTTTTTAAAAATATACTTATTCACTAATATCACTATCACAATAGATTCATTTTACTTAATGTCGAATATATGATTATCCATAGAATTAAGGAGCCTAGGGTTATGCCTAAAAATATCGTCTTCTTCCGATGCCATGGACCACCCGAGAGATCCGGAGGCGCGTATTTAGCCCTCGCTGCTTGACAAACATCCGGTCTACAAGATGTCGCTGGGGTCTGCGGATCCGTCTGGATTCCGCTGCTTCCATTTGCCTGCGTCTGGGTCTGCGTCTGTGAGACCTTCTTCCCTTGCTTCGGACTCTGGTTTGATTTCGTTGCCTCCTTCTGCTCTAACAACTCGGTGCCTTTCTCAGGGTCCTTATTATATGCTCCATTATCCATCTGAAAGCGAACACAAAACGCAATTAGCATTGATTCCAATTACGAATTTCAATACAGTTAAGTCTTTACTTGGTGTCAAATAACTGGACTTTTATTTACATCTTGCGTTTAAAGCAGTGTGACTAGAATCATGAATGGACAATTCAATATTTATACATCGAAGTGCTAATACATTACATGCTGTTCACACAATTTATACTTTCTTTCTAAACAAATTTACTAACATTTATATTAATTTTATCTTTATTTATTCTTTACCCTTTTAATTACATTTGCTTACTAAAAATATATGTCTGATCAAGAAATAAACTTTCTTAAATTAATTATATTTGGTATACAATTAAAATAAAACTATGGTAGTTTTTAAGTTAGAATATAAATTATAAATTATTTTAACTAATGTGATCATAAACTGGCTCAATTCGTAAATAATCTCATTTTGTATAATTTTATATTTGGTGAGTTATCAAAATTTGCGGATATCAAAATTATTTATAGATCATAAATGTAATATGCACAATAAACAAAATTGATAATATGAGATTTCTTTGAATTTTGTGCAGCAACAGAACGCTGCATTTGAATGTACAGTGGAACCTCGCTTAACGAGTTTAATCCGTTCCAAAATTTCCGGATTTTTATGCGTATAGTGAAACTTCTCATTGTCACTCGTTATGCGAAACGTCGCTCGTTAAGCGACTCATTTTTCTTACAATTCATTTTGCTCGTTAAGTTAAATGCTCGTTATGCGAGGTGCTAGTTAAGGGAGGTTCCACTGTTTATTCAGATTTAATTATTATGACATTATTTTACTTCGTCAAATACACAAAATATATTTTTATTTAATAATGTTCTAAAAAAATAATATCTCAACAAATATCAAATATATTTAAAAAAAAAAACTTTATTTTCTTATATGGAAAATTTCATAAAATAATCAGTAGTCGTATTTTATGCCATTTCAGTTATCAACAACAAATTGTTTTGATGTTGCTCATGTCATGCTTCATTTCTAACCGATAGCAACAAGGAAAAATCACGAGTAAACAAGATTAAAAATTGATTATCCCAGAGAGAAGACACAAACATACAATGTAAGTGCTCCAATGAAAACGATTATAAAATGAAGTATGTTCAAACACAGCGTAACAAACTTTGAAGAAACCCAAAAATATACATTTTACGGTTAAACCATTGAACCGAAAAATCTCGTTCTTTCAAATTATTTTGTTATATAAAGAAGTGAATAAAACTAAAGTTACTTAATAATGTAATATAGTTTTATTTAAACAAAACTTATATCTGAATATATATATACTGTGGAACCTCGCATAACGAGCATTTCGTTTAACGAGCAAAATGAGTTGTAAGAAAAATGACTCGCTTAAGAAGTGACGTTTCGCATAACGAGTTTTTAAACTTGTGTATACATATTATGTGTATTTTTTAATATGTTTCAAAATACGAGTAAAAATCCCGAAATTTTGGAACGGATTAAACTCGTTAAGCGAGGTTCCGCTGTAAATAACAAAATGAAATAAGTATACAAATAATAGAACTAGAAAAAAAAGTTTTGGCTTTAAAAGTTTGTTAGTTCCTTAGCAAATTGATATAAGTTTCCGTTGAATAACAATTTGTTTATCGCACAATGATAAAAGTGCAAATTTTGGATATGTATTATTTGCAAATGATGTTCTAATTACATGTAACCAACCCAATTGTTTCGCTACAGGCAATTGTTTTAAATTGCTCATATTATAATGAAATCAACAAAAAATATAGTTACATAATAGTTGACAGTGTCACAGCATTGAAATTTGTATTTATATTTATATTCATTTTCTGACAGTTATCTTGAAAACACAAAGATTTATTTTAAAAGCTATAAAAATTGCATAAAGTTCATATATAAAGTTCTCAAATTAAAATTAATATATTTAATTTTAGTGAAATGTCGAAAAGTAATTGAAATTAATTTATTTGAAAATCTAAACCAATAATAAGATATTACACATTTTTTTATGAAATTTTCTCATACATTCAATTGTAAATTTGTGTATATCAAACATAAATAAAAATAAAAGATCATTAAGTTAGATTGAGAAAGTATTATAAATATTTCAATTAAGTAATTCCATTGTAATTAATTAATATCGTATTTTTGCACCTTATGTAGAAAAATTAAAATCGAATTGGGGTGGTCAGGTAAGGTAAATACTTTTTGGAACGATAAGTTTTCATTTAAAAAAATATTTCAAAGATTGTGAATATTTTTATATAAAAAAATAATCTCTATAGATTTAAGGTGCGTCTATAAATATTTAGTTAAAAATTAGTAAATAAATAATTGTTTATAACGTACGTACATCATTGAACAAGTTGATCTTGTACGTTCCCATTTCGAATGAACAGAATCAGAACTAACCGAGCACACAGTAACAAGCACAAAATATATGAAACGATTATGGTTGAAAACAAACAACAAATTGTGTCACTACAGATAATCCACGCACTTTTTCATCGTCATTAAGAAGAAGTCGCGGACCGCAGAATGGACGACAAGTGGTCGAGCAGTGAGCGTAGACTGCATAGGCAATGTACTCCAAATTACCACGAGGTACGACCTACTCCTAACTGAGTTGGATCCCACCATACAATATTATTATTATTGTGATTTCTGCTCTTGTTTCCTAGAGGATAACCTTAGATAAGATATCAGCGGTTTCCAACCATTCCAGCCGCAAGCAAACAAGCCACTTTTAAATCAGATACACGTAAAAAGAGTCCTTCCGATGTCTTCAATTTAAAAACTATGACGAGAAATTGCATGCACGTCGGTTATGAAATTACTGAAATGTTTTTGCATGCGACGATAAGGCCAGGTCTGTCTGAATCATTGTTTCGTAATTCGAACAATTGTCAATTAACATATCTTTGTGCCGGTTATCGCACGGATGCAATTACATTTGTCATTATTCTAACTTCTTTATTACCAATATCCGAATTCATATGTTTACTGTGAATACATAAGAAAAAGCAACACACAAACATATTAATATTCTATTAAGTAATGAAACATATTTTTTTTGTAAATTCCAACAAACATGTTTTGCATTGTTGTTGCATATATCAGTTACATTTCAAACGAAAACAAATGTTTATTTCATAAATATATAAATGTTAAGAATTTAAATGTATAAAAATCTGTCAGAAATAATAATATATAGTGTAACATTGTCATTGAACATTGTTCAAAGAAAATATCGATTTTTAAACAGACAATTCTGTTTGTATTTCGAAGATGCGTTTGATGTCCGAACATAAACATCTTTTGCAAATCTATTCGTTATTCGATTTGTTCGCAGTCCAAACTATATTCAAAATAGGGGGTCGCGAAAAATATTAGGGGGGTCGCAGAATAATTGATGATGAGATTCAATCCGTTATGCTTCGGAGGGTACCTTCAAAGTTTTAAGTTTGGGAAACGCTGCATTAAATTAGTCATTTTCTTCTCCAAACAGGCAATAATATTAATTAACTTAAACTATCAATTAGTATTCCACCAATGAGCAGAGAAATGTTATCGCAATGTTCTGATCATGGGGCGACGATACCAAAGGCATTATTGCACTAAATTAGTGGATTCCAGATTGGATTGTTCGTTAACCAATCATCGATTTATATTTGTTACCCAAACATGTAATTATTTTGCGAATGATCCATTATCCGATTTGTTCGTTTACCGAAAAAATAATAATAACTAATATAATTCAAATAAATAATTAATTCGAAATAAGTTTCTACTATTATTGTTGATTTATTATAATATATGTATGTAGTATTATAAAAAATATTTTGGGGATATTTGGAAGTTCGACTATAAATATATATGGAATTATGATCATTTTAAAAATATTGATTAAAAGAAAAAAACTCGTGCAAAACAGCCATAATTTGACATAGTAACATTTTTTAACTCACACTTTACTCAAGGACAAAATTTTTATTCAATTACGTTATATAAATATATATTTATATAATTTTTTTATTGTACAAGAAACACATGGAATATTGTTATTTACTCTCATTATTTGCAATTATACATTGTTTTTGGATAATAAATATTTGAAAACTTCTATTCAGGCTTATATTTATTTAATCTAATTTGATAACAAATATATAGCAGGTATCATTATATAACAAAAAATAAAATTAAAAGAAATTGAATCTAATTTATCTCTCGCAACTAAAACTCACCTGAAGGAAATAGAAAGTTGTCTCGATTGCAAAAAAAATAATAATAAAGAAATACTTAAACAGAAACTAAATTATAAACGGAGAGAGAACGTAAATAATAACAAAAGTGTAGTCGATAAATATAATTCTTTGATGCTTTCAAGTGAAACGGAACAGAAGAGAGTTGCGAATGCGAATGGTCGTAAGAACTTTCTACAACGTTTCGAGAGGTATAAAAGATAACCTAAGCAAACATTTAAATCCTACACAAACCTAAAATATTAAAGGTTTTCAAATAATGATTGTTTCGTGTATTGAAGAATGTTTTGACCAAATTTAAGACCAAATAATTGAAATATAATGATAATATTGATATCAATTGTTTTATTTCATTTTTTGGTATAAATCTACAAAAAAAATATTTGAAATTCTTTGTTTTACAAAAATGCAAACAAAAAGTATTTAATATTTATTTAGAAAATCTATCTATTTCGACCAAATGAAATACTGTTATTTGTGTTACAATTTTCTTCTGGGATAACTGAAAATAAAGAGGAGAATATTTATACTAGATCTTCAAAATAGCTAACACAATATTAAGGACCAGTTCTGTTTTCTCTGTAATAATTTTTTTTATTTGAAAAGTTCATGAATGAGCTGGTGTTTCATGACCAAATGATTACATTGTGTTTTTCATTGAACATTTACTATTGAACTGCCAAGACGATATCAAGAATCAAGCATATCAACAACAACAACAATATTGTACGATCACCGAAAGAAATCCTGAAAATGACTCATCCGTAGAAAAATATATAAAAATAAGTGATAAATGAAAAAATATAAATGAACAAAAGTATACAATAAATAAATATTATATAATAATAAATTCAGGACAAAAACACTATGATTTAAAAAATATTTTTTAATAGGATTTTTTTAATGTTTAAAATTTGTTGATCTTCAAAAATTATTAAAATCTAATATACATAATCACAAACAGAGGAATACTTCATAATATCAACATTTGGCCAGGAAACATAATAAACAACATAAATGATATATTCAAGGATAGCTGTTTTTTAAACTTCGTTTCCGAATAATTCTGTTTCTTAATTACTGTGCGTTGTAGATTAAAAAAAATAGATATATAAACAAGAAAAATAAATAAATACCGTAATTCAGGTAGATATCAACTAATGGGAATACACCGCACAACACACACAACACGAAAGCATCAAAAATTTTTGAAATAAAACCGCAAACGCGAAAAGATATATAGGTAACTGTTCCTTATCTGAATCATAAAACATGACTATGCACGATGATAGCAAATGAAAAAATAAAAAAATAATTAAAACGTAGTCTACGGGAATTATTCGCAAATTACCTTCGTTTACTGTGAAATGAATTACCTTCATTTAACGTGAAGTGCGTGGATTTAACGAAAAAGAGATTCTCGATGGCATCGGCAGTCGGATGCACAATAAGTTTTGCAGTCGGATTCCGAGATGACTTTCACCGGTGTTTCCCTTTTAGTTGAGGTGGGATATACTGATTGAATGCACTTTTTTTTTCACTGTTTTGCTTGCAATGAACAACGCAGGCAATGAAATTGTTCGCATCAAGGTTACGTGGAAACATTAATAACAACGGAACATATTATTATTTATTTTTAACAGAATTTTGTAACTCTCTTTTGCGTGCAAAAATGATAGATAACGCTCGTGTATAATTTCGTAGCACTGTCAACCTTTCAAAAAACGTAGCCTCTATCAATGTTCCACGTCAGATACAGTTCATCATGGCTCATTAACGTTTACAATAAAGCTGATAATAATTATGGAAATAATCAATAAGCAACAAAGGAACACAATAATATATTGTTTTGAAGATTAATTAATTAACCTTACTTCTATAGAAAAACATGTTATGAAAATTATAAAATATTTGTAGTTTAATATTACAAATATTGTATAATTTTAATTTATTTAATGTAAAACATTCTAATTATTGAAAAACTATAAAAAATTTAAAGATTTTCTTTTAAATTAATTTAATTTATTACTTAGTAAACTTCTTTGTTGGCCACAATTAAAAGAAAGGATCTATCAACAGAAATCTCTCGCAAAGTGCTGTTTCGATGAAGTCCGGATTCAACCGGACTATAGGTTTCAAAGTTTAATTAATAAAATTAAAAAAAAGAAAATAATAAATTTTATCAAGATGCCTTCAGGAAAATATATTGATTATCACTCTATATCTCTTGTATAAAGTAGTATTCGTAGAGTAGCTATGTATTTTTTGTTGATGACTTTAGTACTAAAATGAAATGAAAATCAATAATTAGATAATCTATATTAACATAAAACATCGCAAGACATGTTTATACTCTATCTATTTTTTTATTTACTTATACAGTAAAACTTTGTTACGCGCTACCTCGATTAATGCTGATTTTCTATAACGCGGTTTGCTGGAAATCTTAAAATGTTCATTGATTCCCGAACACGTAGCGCTGTGCTTCCCTGCTACCAACATTTGCTTAATGAAAGACAAAGTAAGCGACAAATGACTCTAAACGATTTTATCGCCAAAAATCAAAAATATCAGAAGATCCAGGATCTTCATCACAAAAATAAACTTAATATTTATGTTTGCAAATTCTTCTGTTATATAAATCTTATATTAGAATACAAATTACTATAAATACAATTTAAAATTAAAGTAAAATTTCTTTATTTTTGGTAGCGTGTTCCTATTTCCCTATTTGAAAAGAATGAATAGTTTCTCTTTTGACAGTAGAATAAAACAGAAACTGCAACAATAGTTGAAACCTTCAAAGCAATACCTTAATTTTTTACTTAAAATTATGATTCATCTTATGTAAGATGACCAAATTATATTATATAAGGCAGGACAAAAAACATCTTTTAATTCTCCATAGTATTTTTTTCTTTACTATTCATATTGAAAATATTATCGAAATATATTAGACAGTCAAGGTATAAAATTAATTTCTTCAAATTTGAAGCTTGTTACGGAATAATGATAATGACTGATAGCTCACTCTATTCACTATATTTCTGAAATATACAAATACAAGATATACAGTGGAACCTCGCTTAACGAATTTAATCCGTCCAAAATTTTTGGATTTTTACTCGTATAGTGAAACATATTAAAAAATACACATAATATGTGTAGACAAGTTTTAAAAATGATGTAGCAGGTGCACAATCCTTCTCTTCTCATCGTCACTCGTTATGCGAGGTGCTCGAAAAGCGAGGTTCCACAGTGGTTTTTCAATTTCTTATACTTCGAGTAATTAAAAAGAAATGTTCATAAAAACTATAAAATGTATTATGAATGAAAGCAAACATTTTATAACATTTTCTCATAAACGTCTATAAACATTTGATTGAAATACAATGGTAAGAACTTTAAAAATGTAATGAACAATATTAAAAATGTAAACAAAGTTATATTTCTGGATTTTATTTCGCATTTGAATGATTTGTTAGGATCATTAATTAAAATGTCATAAAAATTTTAAGTCGTATATTTTAATGTTTACTTTAAATTCACGAAAAGTATATTCAATCCTTTCAAAACTGCGACACACAGGACAAATCGTTAAAAATCTAGATTGACGTCACTTTCACATTATTGTCTATTTTTTATAAATGTTAGGTATATCTTATTATCAGATGCAGCTTGTCTTCCAAAAAATACAAAAACTTACTTTAAACAGTCTCATTATTACAATTTCATTTAAATTTGATGTACATTTTATATGATGTACTTTATTTTCAACCTCTAAGTGATTATTCAAAATATAATAGATTTTAAATAGATTTTATGAATGTTTCAAATATTTAAACAAAAATGAAAATATTATTAGTATATTAGTTTATATATTTGATATCATTAATATAAAAAAGGTTTTGATGTCAGAAAACACTCATAAATGTATACATAGTAATAGAAAGCTATATATATATACAGGAAACCCTCAGTTTACGACGCAGTACTTTCGCTCCAAAAGCCGACGAAAATCGGCTTTTGCGTAAAATGAACTCGTATTTATAGTGAGGTAGGTATAGGGTTAGGTTCTACATAACTAAAATATAAAGCAATAATTGTGTTTACTCATCTTTAACATATTTGATACATTTCTTTTTCCATGCAATCTGGTGTATATATATTAGTTTTTATATATTTTTTCGAACTACATTCTAAATATTATCTACCAATAAGATAATAATATTCACTGTTAATTTGAAATAAACATCCGTTAAAATTGCGGTTTCTTGTTTCTAAGAATATATAATATAAAAATTGTTCCAAATTCATCAAAACAATTCTTACATAATTTGGTGGACTAATGTTACTGATAACTTAAAGGAAACTTTAAAATAATTTTATTTACATTTGTAGACATATACACCATAGTCATGTTCTTGATTGCACATTTATACAAGCGTACTAACTGGGCTGTGTTTGAGTTTGATTAAATAATGACCATCAATTTGTTGCTTAGTCTGGCTCGGACAATGTTGAAAACATACCGAATGCGTAGTACATGCATAATGATAATATTAAAGATATGACTCACATTTTTGTAAAAGCAATAGGGCAGATACATTGAATCGGGGTCGCACTAAGGAAAACTGGCCATTGAAGATCGACAAGTTCATTTTGATGATTCTCTTGCTACCGCCATAATGACACTATGACACGACATACACGTTAGGACTGTGACAGTGAACTGAAAGTCGCACAAACAACGAACGTATTGTTTTATTTAAAACATATTACAAAAACATATAATGTAAAGGAAGGATTTCTTAAAGTAGATCACAAAATATCTTAAACCTGATGATATAATAATCATAATAATTTAAAAAAATGATTATACTGAAGAATAAAGCATTAGTACATTAAGATAAGAACTTTTATAGCCGGACGATAAATTCCTTTTCGTACTGTCGCGGAATCGATATTTCTTTTGTAAATTCAGCTTTGTCAATGCGAGATGATGGACTTCCCACTTCACGTAACCACTTCTTCCTAAAAAATAATTCATAATTATCGTTTTGGTTCAATTCCGAAAAATCAACAAAAATTTGTGGTGGCTGTTAAACCCGAAAGGGGTAGAAATAGGGCCGGAGAGATTTATATCAATAAATAAATTGATATAAATCTCTTAAAAAAAAAAATCATAATTGATACCAAATCTGATCTTAAATATTCACTAAATGAAGTATTATGTATGATCATTGCAATGTATTGTAAAGTTACGAAAAGTAAAATTCTAATTAATTTGCATAAATCTTACATAATTTCGACTTTTTCAACATTTCCTTCCATGACACCAGTAACTGTCCCCTTCTCGGTGTTCATGCAATATCCGCCAAGTCCAAGAGCCGAAGCTCTCTTCTGGGTATGCTAGTGGAATGCAACCAACATTACGTATGAAAATAATTGCCATCGTCAAGCTTCCAATATTTGCTATAAGAGAATACTTACCTTCCTGAAGAACACACCTACAAAAATGAAAATAACATATGTTATGATTGGTAATTGATTTTGCATTATATTATACCTTGAACTCTGCCAAACACTTCGAAATGTATATTGACGAACTTCGGCTGTTCCGTTTGATTTTCAGACATTTTCGAGACCGCAAATATGAATAAAATTAAGGTTACAGGGACGAACAGCTGATACCGATCGAAATACCTATACATTTTTTTAATACACAAACTTGAGGCGAGTTTCTGCTAACAGATGGAGCACGTTATACAAATTTGATTTATTTTTTAAAATTTTAGCATTGCTAGAAGTATATACACTAAAGATTTGTTAATTTGAATCTAAGAAGAACCGAATCCTGTTTGTCTACAATGACCTTACTCTTACCCTCTTATATATATATTATGTATTTTTTTAATAATCCAAGAATGGTTGAATAAAATCCATTTTTCTATTATAATTTTCCAATTATATGGTATAATTAATGACGAGTTTATAGGTCAAATTTGTCATTTGTCATTTATATTACCTTTTCAAAGCGTTAAATTTCTGCGTAACTTGAATTAAATTTAAATAAACTAATAGTTTGTAGCGTCTGTAAGGTTGGTTAACCGGGCCCCAAATCAGAATTGAAAGTAGTGTCAATTGGTATTTCTATTGATTTTAAATTGATATGTGATCTTTGTACTTGATTTTATCAATATGTACTTTAAAAAGAATCTTGTAAAGACATCTACTTTAGAATTGTAAATAAACTCTTCTGATTCTTCTAAGAATTATAAGGAAAAATATAATATAAAGTTAATAAAAGCTTCAAAACACAACCAGAAACTTGTCAACTAACTTATCAATCGTTTGTACTAACTCATAAGTAATGTTATTGAGCTGTCATTTATATTTGCAAAGTACTTGTATCAATTCAAGTATTATTGGAGATACTTGTATTATTCTGGTAACTGCTCCTAATAAAATAAAAAACTTTGATTTAAACAGTTACTCTCTTAACGACGTTAAATGCCAATAACAAGATATACTTGTATTGTTACAAGAATTTTTTTATTTTCGCTCTATTTCTACCCTCTTTCGTGTTTATCGACCCTCAAAAATTTTTGTTGGTTTTGAGTATCGAAACAACTTCTTTATATTAGATTACAGGCTACTATATTACAAGTATTATTAAAAATACTTGTATTAATACGAGTAATTTTTTGAAGAACTTTAACAAAGTTTGTAAGAAAGTTAGGCAACATTGTGTGCACCTTGTTTGTAAACATTCCATTGAAAATAAATGATTTCAACGATTCTAATACATACTATGATAACTAAACATCATAAACATGTATCATAATATTTCATAATACTATGTTTTCATTGAAAACATTAGATTTATCAAGTGGTTGAAGACATATGAGATTGGTCCAGTTCGGCTGTGCGCGCGGCGCCCTCGCACTGACGTATTGCGACTGTCAAAACCCGATGTATTTATAAAAGAGCTTGGCTATGGTTTGTTTAATCGAATGTTGAAATGTCGAGATTAAGGATTAGCCTGTGTTATTGTGCGGAATTCAGTCGATCCATGTGAGAATCGCGTACAAACGCCACATAACACCAATGACAATGTCCACGATGAGTGTTTCACTCACGGAATTATCAAACATATTCACAGTGATTGCAGTGATCCTATGTTTTTGTGCAATGCTCCTATACATCACAAGGTATGCATGGCATTTCTATAGGTAAATCTTCTTCGAATGTAATCTTTGTCACACTGAAATCTATCACCTCTGAACTGCTTACGTTCCCTAGACCGTAAGTTTGATGTAATAATTAGCGGAATCACTGTAGAAAAGGCAGTATATGTTTGTACAAGTGGCCTTTCTTTTTTTCCTCTTGTTTGTTGATGGTTCTTGTGGAAAGAGTAGTTTATTTACATTTAAAGTATAATTTAAAGTGGCTAGTTACGAAACTCGTCAGTGGACGTTTAGTTTTACCTGAAGAAAACAATTTCTAGTATGTTTTGGTCGTTTTTCATTTGTTATTGTTTTTTTTTAATATCTCAATAACACTTATTTTAGTGTTCAATTTTATTAATTATATTAAATTATGATTAGTCTACTGTAAAAAAAAGTATTTTTCTGTTTTTATTGTCATAAATAAATGTTCAAATTATACATTTACATAAATTTACACTTATTAATCAAAATTATTTATAAAAAATCTGTATCTTGTTACAGTTCAAATTAAATTTGAAATAATCTTCATAAAGTTATTTGCAATTTCCTGGTTAAAAAAAATAATCTTTATTGTAACAGTAAAAAAAACAAATTTAAACATTTTCATTCATAATAATAATAATAAAACAAAGAATATTTACTGCAAAATATATCTTTGTTATTTTGCACTTTAAAACTTATATTTAAGTCTAATCAATTTTAAAATAAAAAAAAAATCATAACGTTAAATTATTCAAGGATTTTTTTTTACTCAAATTATACGCAGGATTACCTTGATGTTATCGCAGTTTGCGATAACAAACACTATCACTGCAGTTAATTTGTGTTATCATGGATGTAGTACTTAAATAATTTAATAAATACATCATTAGTTATAAAATATTAATTAGTGCAGAAATACTGCAGACAATAGTATGTATGTATGTTCTTTGTATACAATAATTTTGACTTTGTTATATTAATTAACAGTTAATTATTTATAATTAGTAAAAACTGTATTAATTTAAAATGTTTAACTCTTTTTGCAATTACAATTCAATTGAAAAATCAACAACAAAAATCCAAAAAAAATAAAAATTCTCCGTTTTAATTTTTTTTTGGTTTAAATCTACTAATTACATTACTGATCATTTCATTACAATGATTTAATCAATCTACAAAGTAATCAAGTTTTTATTTAAACTTATCTATGTAATGTCTCATTATTTTAATGTGTTTATTTTTTTGTCATTATTAAGTAAATCTGATCTAATTTTGATTAAAAAAGTTCTTATGACAATACTGAATATAATTAAAACCGTAAAAAAATTTGAGAATACATACGAATAACATTATTTTTATATTCGTTGGAATTGCTGTGGATCTTTGTGTCTACAAAATTGAAAATAAACATCAAAGAGTAAATTAAATTCCTACTTTGCTTTTGCAATTTGTCTGCAACGTTATTATGGTTTCACGATATTCATCAAGTTGTGAAATATATACATAATAATGATGTTTACATTTACTGAATAAAGTACTTATTATATGTTTATTAGTTTTAAATTACAATTTTTTTTTTTAAATATTGCAAACATGTAATTACTTTAATTTAAATTTTAAATGTATATTTCATATATATAAGTAGAGAAGTATTTTTATTGCGTATTATATTGAATTTGTTCAATTATGAACTAAATTAGATTTGTTCTATGATTTTCATGAATATGATTTATTTTTGTATGTAAATTTGTCTATCATATTTCATTCTGATTATTATTCGTGTTGTTATGTAATTATATCAGTTTTTTAATGCGTATTATATTTTATATTTTAAATTGTTGGTTAAATTAATGATGGCCAAATGTATGATTTAGAAAAATACAATTTTTACCATTTTTAATTAAGAAAAATAGAAATGATTTATACTTGTTTGTTAATGTGTTTAACAGATTATCTCTAGTATTTTTCTCGTTTTATTTTTATTATTCATGTTGTTGTGAAATGCCAGAAGTTTTTTTTAATGAAAATTCTTTCTTTAATGCGTGTAGCAATTGAAATTTTAATTGGTTAGTTAAATTATAATTGATGTCGAAATATATAATTTGTATGAAGTTAATTTCCGTTTTTTATTTGATTATAAATACATAGAGAGAAGAAAAGACTATGGTATTTAATTTACTAATTGCAAAATCTGTTAATGGTTTTTTGATGACTTTTATAGCAATTGAAACATCAATTATGCGAAACAAATTAGTGTCGTTGTTAATTGATTCGTATCTAATAAAGTAGTCACATATATTATATAATTGTCAAAATTGTAGTAGAAAAATGTAGGTATCAGACAATTACAATTTAAAATTGTAAATTGACCATAAAGTGTTTACACTTCACTCTTTGAAGTAAGCAACAACAAACTAATAATTAGATAAATGCTTGCAACTGGTATAGTGGATTATAAAATCGACCTTTAGTCCCTCGGAATAGTCAATTAATAATTACGCCATTACCAATTGGTGAAAGGAGATACTTTTCCATTCGTTTTTGCTCTGCATTCTTAATAATTGAAGGAAAAATAATTATTTAAATTAATGTTTACGAATCGTTTTCCGCATTGGGTTGACATTCTGCTTAAGTTTCGTGAAGACTGTTTTTGTTGTTGTTGCAAATACTGATTGTGCAAATTAAATGTGCTTCTAATTTACAAATGAATCAAAACTGATTGGTAATTCAGAATATAAGAATTTTTTTTGTAGAGGAGAGGAAAACTTACATAAGGACCAAGGGTGGTGTCGTGGTACTGTGGGATTCTTACAGCACTAAAACCTCTCCTCTTCTTCGTCAGCATACATGACCTATATCACTGTACTACTCTGCTATGCTGATTGTCTTTGCCTGTTTGGCACTTCCCTTGCATCATGTTAGTGCTGGCCACTACTACCACTGTCATCGTAGATCTTCTGCAGCCTCCGTTTGTCTTCTTCTTTACTCAGTAGCACCTCTGTTATGCATGCTGCTACAATCTCCTTCTTTGCTGTAAAGTGCAGGTACTTGCCAAAGTATATAAGAATTGATTTATCAGACGAACAGTTTGGACTTCGTACAAATCGAAAAACGAACATTTTCGCGAAATATTTTTGGACAACAAGCACATGTTCGAATTACTGACACCGTAGCCACCAATTGGCGTTTCTTTTGGGAGCTAATGCTAGTAGTTATGTGAAGTTTCTTACATTGATGATTCGATAACGAACAATTCGGATAGTAAAAAAATGCTTTGTTCATTGAATGTTTTGATGAAATTTTTTACCTGCTTCTGCTTGTCTTCTTACAGAATATTTTCTGCATACATTTTATTGATTGACATTTTAAACCATTTAGCAACACTTGGTAATTCTGTTAAAAAGTTGAAGAACCCTGTGATGAGATCATTTTTATTAATACTTGAAGTTTTAAATGCTTCATCGAAGTAAACCAAAATGTATTTAAATGAAGAATAATTAAAAATAACTATTAAATATGCAACTTTAAAAATGAAATTATATCAAAATATTGCAATACTATAAATACATGTTTAATTCATTATCAATTTCCTCAATAATTTATATATTATTTCCTTGTTTTTCCTATACAAGATAATATTTTAACATTAAATACAGTAATTTATTTTATGAGTGTCTTCCTTCAACGTTTCACCACTTTTTCTTTATAAATTCTTGATTGGCAATTGAGTAACTTTATCAATGTTTTTTAAATTGAAACCTTGTGTCGAGACCATTTTTATAAGGATTTACAACATTTTGTAGTTGTCCATATTTGCTTTTGTGTGTTTTTGATTTAATATTTTTTAAGTTTTCATATTTATACTTAAATGACTTAAATTTATTTCATCAGTCAAAAACATTTTCTTTGCAATAATATTTATAATAATATAAAAATACCGGCAGAAAATCCTTTGATTTTTGAAATTATATATATATTTATTTTATTTTTGTTTTATTACTGTATATGTTTTTTTTTGAACGACTGATGCAATAAACATTATTTATAAAAAAATATGGATTGCTGCAAAGGGCTATTGACCATAGGTCTTTCTGCCATACTTAATTTATTTTCTTTAATGTTTATTCTAAATATACATATTTTAAGTAATTTAAATGTAAATTGTAATTTCATTCTGAACGATTTCCACTTTTAAATATTTTAATCACATTCATTAAACGAGTTTTACTTTGTTTATATCCTATTTTACTAACATTTTTTTTAATGTCAGTTCATTAAAATGAAAGTGTATAATTTAAAAAAATTATTAATTAACATTATTGTACACCATGTTTATTTAATCATTTGTTTAGTATGTCAGAGTTTTTGAAATCCATGGAACCCATGGAAATTTAGAACTTAATTTTCATACCTTAAAAATATGATGTTTTAAAATTGTAGATATTTGAGTTTTTGAGTAGAAAATAATAAAAAAAAATAAGTTAACGTTTTAATAAATAACTTTTTTTTCGTAGTGTTCGAATAATAAATTCTTAAATGTATACTAAGATTATCTATTTAAAACTAACATGGATTTTGTGAACTTTCTATGTATATGTACATTATTGAGTGATTACTTAGTGAAAGTTTTTTTCGATAATATACACATTCCTAGTAGTGCGATTAAATGGTAAGCAGAAATACTAAAGAAATACATTTGGAAAATAACACATAATATACTATAATTTCGTAAATTGCACAATACAATAACGTAAATTTGATTATATAGTAAAATAATCCTGTATAAACATTTGATTAATTAATGTATTTTCTCTCCCATTTAATAAATATAATTTTATCAATGATTTAAGTCATTTAGTATCCTCTAAAATGTCTGATTTCATATAATCAAACCATTAAGGGTTTACCCAATTATCTATTTTTCCCCCAAATGCGATTCTCATGTCGGAATTAAATAATCTTTGTGTTTTCCACAAAGTGGAACAAATACTTCCTTACTTCTTTCTTGGTATCTCTTTCTTCCATTACTTCCATTACGTTTCCAGTGATTGTTTTCAGCTTTTGTTTCGATTGCACTCTTTCCATAGACGAGTCTCAGGTTTTTACTTCCTTTGTTCCTCCACGTACCTTGTTTACTAGTTTTTTTTTCTTATACATTTCAAAAAGAAGGTGCAAATAATAGGATCATTTTTCTTGACATCTCGACCATAACACACGCGGATGATGTTGTTTTCGACCGTGTGTTGTCTGCGATGCAGTAAAGTGTTTTGTTGTAGTTGATGATGTTTTTTTTTCTTTACCTTAACATACACGACCCGCATTTATTCAAGATTCATTAGTTCGTAATTAAATCGGTGAATCATACTATTTTTGGCTCTGGTATGTTATTGATAATAACAACGCTTTAATATGACTTTGCTTCACCTTATTTATTATGTTAAATTCAATAATATTATTTACATTTGAACAGAATATTATTTTTTTATGTCGTTTTAATTTGATTCACAATCTGTTCATCAATGTGAACATTGAGTAAATTTAAGATCGCGGTTGACATTGGGTAGGTAATCTTTCCCAGTTACCATTAGGATAATTTTGATTTTTTAATTTATTGGTTGGCTGTCGTCTTGTAGGTTTACTTCAGTAGTATATTGATGCTCTGCGATTCCACTATTTCGTTTGACTGTGTATCTGCTGCTATTCTTAACACTGTCATTGTCCATCGACTTGGCTGAAGGTCCATATGCTGAACCTCATTCATTTGACTGTCCATCTGTGATGAACGGTGACCCTATTGCTGCAAGCACCGAGAGTGCTCACAAAGGGCCTGGTTTGACGACTTAACCATTCGGTTATCTTATGAATAATATAATTAAAGTTTTTTTATATATTACAAATATCGTTGCAATATCTGGATGTCAATATTAAACATGATACCATTTAGATAGTGGATATGTCTAGACATTGGTTAGATTTCGATAAATTGCAATATGAATTGCAGTAACGCACCTAAAGCGCTAAACTTGGTCTTACTGTATATCTGAACCTCATAATTATATCTCTACTGATGTCATATAATGTTGAAACAATTGCTGTTACTGTTAATGATTTATATTTCCTGTTTTATATTCAATAATTAACAAAATAATCCTTGATTAACGATTAATTAAAAAGTTTTATTTCATAAATGCCATTTTATTAATAATTTCCATGTAATTGTGCACAAGACCCATGGTCATCGGTTCCGTCAATATCGAGGACTACAAAAAGAGACTCATTAAATGAAAAAATAATAATTTTGTGTACATTTTTTTTTTAGAATTTATTTGTACTAAATTAAAATTTAGTTTGTTTTCAGTTTATAGTGAATCTGAAAGCTATTTTTGTTTTACAATGTTATTTATGGATATAATCTCACTCTTTAGTAACATTAATATCAATTAGTGCAGAAACGACGATTTCTTTGATATTAGTTTCATTGATTTGCAAAAAATAAGCTTCGGAAAATCGCCGTTTGCAATCTCGATGAATAATGTAGTTGCATAACATCATTGAACAATTGCAAATGTTGATGTAATATCCGGATTTGCAATAAACGTATATTTACTTTTATTTATATATTTTTCACGTATTTAATTAAATTCATATTATTTTATTTTCTATTAGTCCTGTGTAAACCCACAATTGAAGTCTTTCTGTTAAATTGATTGAACTTATTGATTTTTAATTAATGAATTGATTTGATTAATCATTGATTAATAAACACTTGAATAAACATAAACGTACTATAGATCGGATTATCAGTATGGATATATAATGTATTATGTCTTATAAATAATTTATTTTTTTCTATTTGACTATGTCATGTAATATTTTTTTTTATAGAAATTTTTTAATTACTTATTTATGTGTGATTACCAAACGCTTTCGGTTTTTCCTACCCAAATACTTTTTTTTTGATAAATTTGATGATAAGTACACTTTCTAATGCAGTACATATAAATAGTTTTGATTTAAAACAAAAACTAGTATTAGTTGGTATATAGTGGCCACATCATAGTCTTAGACATATATTCTTTGACTCCAACTTAGTTTCTCTTGTAAGTAGTACAGATTTATAAGTTACACTAGAAACAGCAATTCCTTGAAAATTTCACCACAAAGTAAATTTTAATTGTTTATCTTTTATACAGTAATGTCGCTTTTTGTGCGGTTTATTTTCATTTTAATTAGTTATTCGATTAGTCCGGTTTCAAACAGTCCGAGATATTGGGGAAATCAATTACTAAAATTAGAATTCCTTGTTGAAAAACAATAAATGCGAGAATTGCCTACATTGGTTTGAAAGTTGTTTGATGTCAATTAACTCGAAATAAATAAATACCTATAGTATTGCATTACATTATTCTTTACAGTTTATACATTCATTAGACGTTCCATGTTATTACATAAGTGTATATGCAAAGGTATGCCAATGTCAATTGACCTCAAATTCGTTAATCCACGATTACACTGTTCGCGCTTCGTAAACGAAATTGATTAAAGAAATACGAGAAATCTTGTATATTTATATTCAATTTGCAAGAAAACTGTCATCAACATGTAGTCGTTTTTGCACAAACAACAAAAAATATTCATTATTCTCAATACTCAAACTCTTAATATATTTTATTAATCAAGATAATTTTGTTTAGACATAATGTAATTAATATAAAACTATATTTTTTAATAGGTTTTAGTTCTTAATATTTAAATTAAGACTTTATGTAATAATGTAAAATAATGAACATTTAAATTGTTAATATATTTTTTTATTAGTTTTTTTTATTTATAAGATTTGTATTGCTAATATTTGAATTTAGACGAAATTTTACCAAAAATTAAACATTTTTTTTCGTCGTTCATATTTATTTTATTTTTTTCTTAATATATTAATTTAGAAAAAATAATATTAAATGATCTTGAAATAATAAATTTTCTTTTCAATAAATTTAAATAATTTTGTGTAGATCATTTTAAATATTCTTTCAAATGATTTTAGGAATGAAGAAGACAGTTTATTTAATTTATTTGTTTATATATATATAAATATTAATATATATGTCAATTATGTGATGTATCAAATTCTAAGTTATGTTTTGTTTTGTGCAGAAATATGATGGTATTGCGAGTGAATGGCGACGATATGGTCTTCCATCACGGTTCCCTCCATCAAGTCACAGCCCGAATTCCGCAAATGAACATGATGAAGGTTCACATTCCGTTCACATTTAAATTACTCGAAACATCCAAATCCACGTACTCTGGTGAGTTAGAAATTTTACGTACATAAATATTCATATTATTATACAAATATTTGATAAATTAAAGTATTGCATATTACTTGTTATTTTTATTGGGTCGTTACATAAGTCCGTTCGTATTTTAGTGTACACACGTTGACGCCCAATCGATGGTGATCAGTTAGTTGGGAGGGAATTTTTGATAATGATAGTTATAGTGTACACTTCTAGCTACATTTTAGTGTAAAGTTTATCACCTTGCTACATTTTCATGAAATAGAAGAAAAAAAATCGAGAATTTTAGACATTTCATGCTGTATTATTTTCGAAAAGGAAAGACGCAACTCAAGCGGCCAAAAAGTTATGCAATATCTAGAGGACATCTGCAACTACCGATCGAGTAATATAAAAGTGGTATCCCCGGTTCAGGAGTAATGAGTTCCAGCTTACAGATGAGAGTGCTCGAGACGGTAAAGAGATGGCAATATGAATTTTATTGAACGTTGGGTCATAGTGATAGAAAACAATGGACAAAAGGCTTTTATAATGTATATCTTTATGAATTTTTGTTTAAAAAAACGAACGAACTTATGTAACAACTCAATAGACCAATATGTTAAATCATATGTAATATGTGTATGTAATGTATTATTTCTGATGTAAAATATGCTTTTACATCAGAAATACATTAAGTTGTATTAATAAGGACTAGTTTATATGTAAATCTACCACTACACTAAACTAATTCATGAATTCTATCAAGTTTGGGTCATGCTGAGGAAATAAAGATGAGTTAAATTATATTTTTAAAATGGCAGTAAATTAATTATTTGAATGACCATAAGTTCATTTAAATCGCATAAAATAATTAAAAAGACATTTTATGTGTATATGACCCACGCAGTAAATTAAATACAAACATAAAATGACAGTCAGTCCTTCCATTTAAAATAATGTAATGAATGTTATCCATCCATGTGGATGTTGGCCCACTGTGAATAGTTGAGTGCTCCTACTAATTTGATCGTCGGATTTAATAACATTCTTTTGCGCAACGTATCAGTCCGTTGCGCTCATGCATATATTATACAATGATTTCAAAACTAGGAAACGAGAAAGGAAAGCAAAAAGGGTTTTTGTTTTTTCGTTATGTTATATAATGCAAGTGATAATTGTTTCGTTTCAAAATATTTGTGAAGAGAAATTTGTAACTGATGTACGTTAATTTTCACTGGTGGCAATCGAAATCCCGACAACCAGAATCCCGACTATATCATAATGTACAAAAATATTATTGTAGAATTTTTCGGTATAGTCGGGATTATGGTTGTCGGGATTTCAATGCAAATATGCAATCAATAATTGTTCAAACTAATATTAAATTATCTTATTTTTTATTATAATATGTGAATCATATATGTACATTTTCACATTAATTAAACTATTTGCTTTAACATTTTTTCTCTTAAATCCAATATTCAATCATCGTGATAAAGCAGAAATGTTCGCAGATCATTTTAGAACAATCTTAAACCACTTTCAGCTCAAGTCTCAACGGAAGAAGATAAGGAAGTTGAAGCTTATTTATCTTCTCCGTTTCAATTAGTAATGACTATAAAACCAAAAAGCCCAAAGGAAATAAAAACACATATTAGTAGTCAAATAAAGCCAAAAAAAACCACTAGATTTAGTAATTATTAATGTTAAAAATCATAATAATGGTAACTATCCACCGGGAAAGCTTATTTAATGTTAACCGCGTTTTGAAATTTACTCAATATTCACATTGATGAACAGATTGTCAATAAAATGATTACGACATGTTGGTGACATTTCAAAATATTTTAAATTTGCAATTTTTATTGCATTAGTGAATTCATATTGTTTTAATTTCGTCTTCAACAAATCAATTTTCGTTTTGTTTATGCAATCAAATAACTCATCTGACCTTAGATATGGACAATTTGTTATATCAGATTAATCTTTAAAATGTTCTTCTGATTTGAGTTAAATTTCACATAAATAAAGTTGAAAATTAAATGTAGATCTCGACGTTTCAGAGACTTTAATTATATTAATCAGAGATTAAACAAAAAGGTCGTTCCATTAGGTTAAACATGATTTGATCAAATATCTTTGAACTTCCTTACAAAATCTACAGAATGAACTATTTGAAATATATGCTCAATCGTATATTTTTCTGCCCATGGAATTTTGTTCAAGATTATAAAATTGAAAAAAATAATTAACTTCTATAAATAACAATTAAAAATTACTAACTAAATATAAATAATATTGAATATTGCTAATTTACTTAATTCTCATGTTAAATTTCTTTTTTATGCAATTCAAAAATATGTTTATTGCATTTAATGGATGTTCTGCAATAACTTTCAAATTCGATACGTATTGTTAATTGCGTGAAGCACTTATAAGAAATCGTTTGTGCGTGTTATGAAAAACATATAAATTAATAATAATGGTAGACTATAAATATTTTCTGCTGTTCTTTTATTTTATTTTACCGTTTAACTTATGCACTTCTATTTATGCGACTTCGCGTTTTTGTTCCAACAATCAATGGAGAAATATATAAAAATTACGTAATATTTTCTAATAAATTTGCGAACGACTGTTTGTAATTTGATAATATTCCATAATATTTGTTTTTGAATCGTAAGTGTTTGCATCGTGTCGATTGATTTATTTGCACATATTACAAAATAAATGTGTATTTTGTTACACAAATATAAAAACTCATTACGATCATTTCACATTAGATATTGCAATATTTTGTTGGTATTTCACCTTTAAATGTCATACTTATATTAATTTTACAAAATAATTTATTGACAATTAAATTTTTATTCCAAAACTGTCAACTTACAACCAAAGACATTCATTTAATTTGTCTTAAATATCATATCTTTATCATATACAAGTATTCTCCGACTTACGAACAAAATTCTAAAAGCTCTAACTTGTTACAAGGAGGTATATAGTTACAAAAAAAAATAACTGTCCAAACAAAAATTGATAACTTCTTTAATAAAATATAATATTATAAAAGTAAAAAACATGATAAAGTATGGTAAGATAAGTATATTTTGAAGTTTTTTTAATTCACCCGATTTACGAACAAATTCGACTTACGAACATTCATTTGGAACGGAACTAGTTCATAGGTCGGGGGATACCTGTATATTTAAATTTGTGGCATGAAGAAATTCTGATACTAGATAGATTTTTTTTTCTTGGCCAAGAAACTTTAAATCTGAAAAATATATTTTGGAGAATCTACAGTATTAAATTTAAAAGATTGTTATTGTTTAAGTTATAGACATTTGTGATTGTGAAACCAAAGCTGAAAAAAATGTGACATTGCGGCTGGAAAATCAATAAGTGTGTAACAAAATTTCTGTGCGCAACACCTATGTTATCATACATCAATCCTTATAAGTTGCATATATATTAGTAGTTGGAAATACCCGAATTATTTATATTTATACCAATACATTACATTGTTAAATATTGCTTTTGTTTATACATATTTACTCCTATAGAATATGTTAGTTTACAACTATTTTTTTGTAACCTTTATTTTATTCACAACTTGGCAATGAGTAGAATATCTTTGGGCAGTGGACAAAAAAGAAAATATAAACAGAAAAACAATATAAGAAGCATGGAGCGGAACGATTTCCCATTTCGGAAATCTTCCTATAAACAAATATAAATTTAACTAAAAAAAATAATTCAATGACAATAACCACCCAACTAAAAATTGATTTTGACGACACTATGAAACTTAAATAAAAATATTTACTCTAAAACTAACTTTTAGTTTCTAAAGGGGAGGTCGAGAGTGTTGTGACTCTTTAGTATGTGGGGGTGGTTTTCCAGTCTGTTCTGGTAACGGGCACTGAACTTGGGGATTTCACTCTTAACAGTGTTCATGTGGAGGTCGTTGTGTATCGTGTAGTTCGTCACGAACCAGGGGCCTGCACCAGGGGTTGGTACTTGGACTAGAAGCGTTGCAGGATCTCGTTGTTGGAATTGCTGGCTGTTCCCCAAAGCTGGATGCCGTACGTCCACACAGGCTTCAGCACTGTATTGTAAATTAATAGTTTGTTGTCGAGGGATAGTGGAGATCTTTTGCCGATCAGCCAGTACAATTTTGCGAACTTGATACCCAGTTGCTTCCTTTTGGTTGCGATGTGCTTCTTCCACGTGAGTCGGCGATCCAAGAACAAGCCCAAGTATTTGGCATCGTCGGCTTGCGGGATGATTTTGCTGTTCAGTGTGACCGGGGGTCAGGTTCTCTTTTTGAGGGTGAAGGTGACATGGCTGGATTTGGTTTCGTTGACTTTCATCCGCCACTTCCTGAGCTACCCCTGGCACGCGTCGAGATGACTCTGGAGTCCACGCACAGCAATAACCGGATCCTCGTTGGACGACAGGATCGCGACGTCATCGGCGTAGGTAGCTATAGTGGTTTCCTGGGATGTCGGCAGGTCGCATGTAAATAAGTTATACAACACCGGTCCCAAGATACTTCCCTGCGGCACGCCCGATTCGATTGGATTTAGCTGGGTTACCTCACCGTCCATCTTCACTTGGAAGAATCTATCACACAAAAACGACTTTAAAAATAACTAAATTATTTTCTGAATTTGTGAATATTAGAATATACTATTACAAATTTTATATATAACACCTCACTCAATAAAATCGATATGATTTTTAAGAAGTGCCAACTTTCGGACGTGTGTTAATAAACTATTACTTTTTGATGGAAAAAAAAATACCGTTCAAGCAACGCAATGGCTTGATAAGTATAATGGGGATTCTTCTCCGTCGAGACAAATGGTATAGACGTGGTTTGCTGATTTTAAACGCGGTCGTACAGGCACAAATGATGGTGAACGCGCTCTGGTCGCCCAAGTTACGCAATTGTTACAAAAAACATAAAAAAGTCCACAAAATGGTTTTCGCCGATTGTAAATTGATGTTGTGTGATTCAC